GCCAAAAATAACGGTGAGCAACAAAACTAAACAAACCCTACCCATACTTTTTTTAACGCTCGTTTAATGGGGGTTTTAATGAATTAAAAAAGCCGGCTTCATCTCATCACAAAAACAACTAGACAGATTTACAAAATTATTTATGAACTTTTCACAGGGAGAGTTCCAGACGTCCATACTGGATAGACCTTTGACTTCAATCTCGATCAAGCATCATTCTCATACACAGTTTTCAATGCGGAATGTGAAGAAAACACTTTCAAAAAAGTTAGAAAAAAAGTTAGCGAAAAAAAACGTTGAAGTTTTTTGAAACTGAAGGATTTTTTCGAAATTTTAGACCCTTCGAATTTCCTGAATTTTTCTTCCTTAAAAATATTTTTTAAAGAGTGAAAAATCACTTTTCTTACTCAGCTCGATATGCTTTATCTAATCACGTGTAAAACGACGGAAAAAAATCTCTGATGCAATTCCTGTTTGCATCTTCGGCACCTTACGTTTAATATAATTATTTTGTTATGACATAAGTCTATAATGATTCATTCTCTCCTGATGGATCTTCATACAAATTTAGAGTCACATTTTCTCCTGTGTTCTGCTTCTCTGTTTTTGAATGTTCATGGGGACTAGAAGTGTGAGATGCAACAATTTGATTAGGAACAATACTCTTGTTAGTTTGTTGTTTTAAATCTTCTACTGACACATCGTTGCTGCTACTCGCTGCTAGTGAAGTTTTGGTACAACACATTTGAGTGTCGCAAGCATCGTCTTTACACCTTAGTAGACATTCAGAAGATCGATTTTGTTCATTAGGATTTTCTTCATATTCGATTTGAAACGTTGTTGAATGTATTCCCATACCATGGAAAAAATGTTTTACTTTATCAGCTACTTTCATGTAATCTGACAAAGTTTTACGATTCAAATGAGCTGAAGCTATTATCTTTTCACCGGTCAAACGCCAAACATGCAATTCATGAATACCATCTACTTCTGGTACTTCTTCTAACAATTTTCGCTTGAGTTCCGTAACTTCAATGTGATTCGGTACCGTTTGTAATAGGATGTATGATGTTTCCTTGAATAAAGGAACCGTTGATAAGGTTATCACAATAACAATGATAACTGAAAGTGTGGGATCGATATACACTGTCCAGTGTTTTGTATCATTAATGTCATGTGGAACAAATTTAATTAATAAAGCACTTATAATTACAACCACAGAACCTTAAAAAAGAAACCAGAGCTATATGTATCAGCTAAAATAATTTTTTTTCTGTAGTATATGAACCCTTTTTTTCATTCTCATTGCTCAGTCATTCAAAAAATACTACTTTAATATTGCTCACCTAGCGCGTCAGCCAACACATGAAGAAATACGCCGTGCATATTCAGCGAAGCCTCTTTCTTTCTTCGTGTTGTGACGTTTTCGACCACTGAAAAGTCATCGGAGACGGGAGGTGATGGGCTACGATTGGTTGATAACTGATGTGGATGAGTATTTGTAACAACATCAGAAATAACCTAAAACAGACTTTACACTATGAAATACCTGCAGCCGTATAGAAGTGAGAAAAAAGATGATCCTCCTACCTCTTCCAGAGCTCGTGTACTGTGTCTTTTGAATTCAGTTGAATTGAGTCTTTCGAGTATGTCAGTATGTTTATCGATGGATACGCGAGTATTTGGCGACCGAGGTGTCGAAGTATTATTTTTTGACTCTGCTGGATCAACATGATTATGGGCATGACCGTGGGCATGATCAACATGATTATGGGCATGATCAACATGATTATGAGCATGATCACCATGATTATGAGCATGATCACCATGATCATGACAATGTTCATGACTGTGATTCTCATGGTTTTCTGCTTCTTTTTTGTCTACTTTTTTGTGTGAATGTCCTGGTTTATCATGTGAGTGTCCATGTTTTTTGTCAACACCATGCGAATGTCCTCCACCACCTCCTCCATGCGAATGACCATGAAATCCTTGGAATAAAAATAATCCAATAATATTAATACCTAGACCGACACTGCCAACAATGAGTAATAAATCTACTTTAACTATTGATTCTGGCGCTATATAACGTTTAACAGAGTCTAATACAATTGTTAAACATAAAGCTAATAAAAATACAGTATTTACATTTGCTCCAACAACTTCTGCTCTAACCCAACCATAGGTATTTATATCTGAACGACGTTTTGATACACGTACGGCAAATAATGCAATAAGTAATGATAACACGTCCGAAAGCATATGAAATGCATCGGCAACAAGTGCTACGGAATTTGTAATATTTCCAACGACAAGTTCCACAATAAAATAACTGAATGTCAATGATAACATGCAGCATAAACGAAATGTTTTCGTTGAATACCACCTTGTTTTTACTGTCATTTGATGTCGATTTAATGGTGCTTGTTCAACCTATATGTATACAATTAAATTTATTTGCACTTGTCCTCTGTATCTTTATATTCAATATTGTATAAAGAGGTTTTTATGCGCCAATATATCAGCGTATACATATATAAATAGGTAGATACTTGCTTTTCTGTTTTTTTTGAACGAAAATATTTAATACTCGTATGCAAAACGTTGATATAAAAGCGAAAAGAGTTATATTCTCTCACTTCAAATCCCCCTAAGGTCACTATTCTCATCATCATTATCAACTCTTTCTTAGAAAAACATTGATGAGTTTCTTTATTTCATTCGTTCTCTATGTATCCATACTGACGCGCTTTTTTTTCAAAAAAGGGGAGTATGAGAGTAACTCTATAGCAAGTTTTATTGGTCGCTTTTATGGGCTCCCCTATTTTTACAACGCATATCTGATCAAAGTCCTATTATATTCTCGAATTATTGTGAATTTTAAACAACTGAGTGACTAGGAGAACCGATGAAATGTTGTATCACTATTAGTATGCATGACGATTGTTGATTCATGATGACGTAATTGTTTGCTACTCTGTGAAAATAAAGGTTTGTGTACGAAACCTAAAAGGCTATAGAGAAGTGCAACCATTTCTAAACCCTTTTAGGTTTCGTAGAAGAAAACGTACGATACGAAACCTTTTAAATGCATAAATTCTATCAATTTTATTTTATTTATTTATTTTTACTGAGCAAGTAGACCATTTCAGCAGGTTAAACGTGCTTTCATAGTATAGGGCGGCGAAAGTTGAGCTAAAAAAATACCTGAAACTTTTGTAATTTTTGATTTTTCGAGGGAAAATCATGAGAAAAAAACATAACAAAATAAGCTTGATCAGTCGTTTCAATGCACTTAAAACGATTTCGTATCGTACGTTTTCTTCTACGAAACCTAAAAGGGTTTGGAAATGGTTGCACTTCTCTATACCCTTTTAGGTTTTGTACACAAACCTTTATATTTTAGAGAGTAGTGAATGTGCTTGGGTAAGGATTTCCAAGTCAAGTTTTCTTGTCAAGTACTTGTCCAAGCACTTGGCTGATCCAATGCAAATAAATTTACTTGAAAAACTTCGGTCAAGTACTTGTTCAAATGCTTAGTAAGTGAGGAGGCTTGTCAAGTACATCTCAAGTACTCGGCAAGTGATCAAGTACTTGCATCAGGTATATAGCTTAATCATCAAACTCACTAAATTAACAACTTTACTAATGTAATGAAAAATAATGTTTAATACTGGATGAGAGTCGCTAACATCAACTCAGATTTGTGTTCTCAGATTATTCTCTCAGCAAATAATAACTTCTCAGTACTTTCTCATGTTAAAATTAAACTCATCGAAACTATCGCAATTCAGTTTGGTCATGATATCATTATTACATACTTTGTTTGTGGTATAGTGATGTATTTCCATTGAATAATACGGAGTAGTTTAAAAAACAATAAACACCAACGCTGTAAGACAAATTTGTTTTCTCTGCTTGATTTATCAACAGTTTTGTTTTTATTTTATTTCTTGTTTTGCTCTTTGTTTCTCTTCTATTCATCTTAGTCATCTGACCTTATGAATCAAATGCTGTCATTCACCTTCACTGTGCATGAGTTAGTTATTTAACGGAAAAGATTAAAGTATAACAGATTTTTAGTAGAAAAATAAAAATGTCAGTTGAAAAACGCCTTACATTTCTAATTTATTGGTTAAGTTTTACTCCTTTCGTTAGATAACATTATCGCCGCTAAGTAGCAATGTACTCATATTCAACTACGGTGTTGTTTTACGAAATATGTCAGACAACACGTGATTTAGACACTACATGTAAATTTTTCTAAGTCTTATATTTAGTAAACAGATAAAATCAGTTTTTCGTACGTAACAATTTGCAATATTTACTTTTGTTAGAGATTTAGATTTTATTTGTAATACTCAACGATCGGTTGATTTTTCTATTCATTCTAATTTGGCTTCAAGTCTTTCTTTATGTTTGGTCGAATTATGTTCAACGTTACCTATACATGATCCAACGGAAATTCTTTAATTTTATGCTGTATATCTAACCGAATTTCAGCGATATGTCATACAAAAAAATCAATTATTTGTTTCTAATGCAGTTACTAGTACCAAATCGTTTTATTGCAGTTGATAGCGTATGAAAAAAATCTACAGGAATATGCATACTCTAGCAATTAATGGAATTTTAGGTAGTGTTGGTAATAATCTCGTAGTTTTAACAATAATGAATGGTTTTGGTTGTTATGGAGTCCAGTTATTGATCAAGTGATATAAAATAAAAATAGCTAATAAGATGAAAGCTTTTATTGATTTCCCTAGAACCGAACACAAATAACGGCAAACAGCTTCTTTCGTTTTCTGACTTTCCCTTTCGTGTTCACTTTTCGAAGTTGGCTAAGTCGTACTAGAAAAAACAAAAGAAATCTTTCAACAGGATTCCAAAAAAATCCTAAATAGGAGTTCATAGGATCTGATAGAGTTTCTGCTGGAGGCTCATGTAGGATGGTAGAATCCTGCAAGAATTGCTCAAGTTTTCAACAGTTAATGCTTTTTAGAACAAGGCCTTGGTTAACTGTTGCTTTTTCAATGTCGATAATAATAGAAAATTAATAACATCTATCGCAGACTCGTCTCTCCTCTATGTCAACTTTCTCACTCACCTTCCTAAAAATAGATTGATCTCATTTATGCACAGCTCCATAAAACGAGCTTATGCTAGTTAATACCGGTACTACGTATAAGAGTTCGTTCGTTAAATCCCCATTCATTTGAGTTTTATGAGCACAGAGTGCCATCGAGAATGGTATACAGAAAATACAAATGGACACAATCTAAGCAAAATAAGGGGTAGAAAGATGCACTAAAGCGAGATTTTAGAAAAATGGGAAAATGAAACTGAAGCTCCTTATTGAAAATTGGTCATTTTCTGGAATTTTTTCCATAAGAGTTGAATATGAAACAGCCATGTATCGTCAGAGCCGTTAATTGGGGGAGGGTGTACACCCTCCAAAATAAAAAATTATCTTTTCCTCGCAGCGGAAATTAAAAACTTTTTTCTTACATCCCCCGAGAAAAATTTTAAGATAAAATTTTTTACACCCCCTCCCCTAAAGTTGACCTCCTGTTTATGGCCCTGTGTATTGCCGATACGAAGTAGAACTTTATCTGCCGAGAGTAATAGAAAATATATGAGTACCCTTACCTTAGCAGCCATAATTGCAACCTCAATTCGGAATGAATGCCTGAGTATTGTGTATGTAGTGCTTTGTCCGATATTCGATAATACTAGTCTTAATTTTTCAACAGAATCGTATCTGTTTAGATTTCGACCATTTGGCTTTAAAGATAGTACATCTGGTTCTTTAGGTATTATCTAAGTATTTTTTCGCATTTATAGAAAAATTTCCTAGAATATAGAGAGCATATAATATTATCCGTTGGGAATAGACGAATATTAATCCCTAGAGATGTTAGTCGATCACTTTATCGATGGTGGCGGCGAAAAACCTCTAGCAGACATTTCCGTCTTTGACGGCCGTGACATGGAAATTTTTAAGAGTTATCATATCGAGAAAAATTCTCCTTCTCTTAGAAGTCTCAAAATGTGGTAAGGTAGGGTAGGAAATTTTCAATACCTAGTGTTTAGTTCACGACCTAAAGTAAAGTAACTATCATTATGACTGATCATCATACTGATGAGTTAAAGAAGTGGACTACAGAATGGTGTTAAAAGGAGACGAGAGAAGAACGGAACAGCGTTCATCAAAATGCCATATAATATAATTTAGAGATAAATATCAATATAATGTTTACTTCTGTCTTTTGCATACACATGACTCTAGTTGATAGCACAAACAAGTTTTAATTTTCAATAATTCTTTTTCAAAGATTTTTGAAAAATTTTTCAGAAATATTTTTATTAGTAGCAGCAGCGTAAAATTTCACAAAAAAGTTTCGCCTATGGCGACGGCGACTTGAAATTTTATAATTTTCTGTCGGCTGCATCAGCAGCATGGCTAACATCTATATTAATTCTTGCGTAGTGTTTGTTTATAAATAATATTTGCCATGCGAATATCTCACACTTAAAAAATGAACTTCTAAACAAGTTCACATTCTGAAAAACGCTAGAGAGAAACAATTTAGTTGAAATGCTGATGCCTTCTAAAACGCTAAAATCGAAAAAGATCCCGATGAAAATGCACAATAGATTTCCTATACAAAAAATTTGACTAAGATCAAAAGCGGCACGGGAAGCAGCGAGATGAAAGTGAAACGACCGATAAAGAAAACTAGGATCTTTTGTACGTTTTTTCTGCAAGTTTTGTATACGGAATTCATTGTGCATTTTCGTCGGGATCTTTTAAATTTCTGTCCCTTCTAAAATATAGAAACATTGCATTTTTCTATCTATAGCGTCATAATTTATAAAGATAAAAATATTTTTACAGTTTAGATGTTTATGCAATTACAAAACAAGGCAGTTATATATAAAACAGTTGTAAATTATGTTCTATCAAAGCTATACTGACCTAACAAATGGAAAAGTAGAATAAGGGCCGACCAACCGGAATATATTTTGAAACGCTCTCTAAGTGTTTGTTTTAATAACAGTAATGATCACGTTTAGGCTATTTATTCTTTGTTATATGCATATTTGGTTAGTGGATATGTACTATTAACTTTTCTATTGTTTTTTGCAAGAGTTTTTATTTGAGTATTTTATTATTAAAGTAAACGTCGCTATTCTTATAGAAGAATACGACGTATTACGGGCAAACATTGTTTTTCTAACCTTATTTAATTAAACAAGTATAGAGTTCACTATTAGTTAAACAGAACTTATTTAGCAAGGTATTTGAAACCACTGGACATTGTTTTGATATACAATTGAATCCCCATGAAGAATTTTAGGTTCGTCGTTTTTCACTTCCCAGCACGTTTAACTACCAAAAACACTGCTTGTAGCCAATAGCAGAGAAAAACTACTTCAAACTTTTCCCAACCATTACCCAAACTCATAAACAATCTTTTCAAAAATATGTTCATGTAAAGCTGTTCTCGAAATATTGAATTTAGGAATTGGTTTTCGTATTTGCAAGACATAGGCGTCTGAGTCAGAAATCCTTCACCCTTTTCAAACCGTTTTTTTCTATGAAAAATATATCATAGTGGCACGAGTATCATATTCTACAACTAAGTTTTGGGAAATCACAGAGAAAATTGACTTTTCAAGAAAATATGAAAAATCCTAGGAAAAATCTTAAAATCTACAGGCATTTTAGAATTTTTAGACTGCTTCCGCTTTAAGCCTCGGCTTACATTAGCATACACTGGAAGAACACATATTTCTAAATATCAGTGGCACTTATTCAGCATTTTGAAAATTGTCTTTTCTGAAAATGCGCGAATCTTTACATAAATCAGCTGCAGGTAAACCATTTTTCTTCGACACTTTCTCAACTTTAAAGAAGATATTCATGATTGGTGTAAGAAACTACACACATAGTTTTGCACCGTTAGAAAATCTGAGAAAAAGAACAGTGTTCCAGAAACACTTTGGAGGACTAAAGACGTGAATGACTGTCTAGAAAAATTTCTCTAAACTGGGTTGTAGAATATGATACTCGTGCCACTATGATATATTTTTCATAGAAAAAAACGGTTTGAAAAGCGTGAAGGATTTCTGACTCAGACGCCTGTGTCCTTGCAAATACGAAAACCAATTCCTAAATTCAATATTTCGAGAACAGCTTTACATGAACATATTTTTGAAAAGATTGTTTATAGCGCGTTTTGAAGCGCAGGAAATTCTGTCTTCTTGTGTGTCGTTTTTGCTAATCTGCACAAATCTATAGAAAAAGGTCAAGGAGCAGAGCGGGTGAGTTTGGGTAATGGTTGGGAAAAGTCTGAAGTAGTTTTTCTCTGCTGTTGGTTACAAGCAGTTTTTGGTACTTAAGCGTGCTGGGGGTGAAGAACGACGCACACGTGATTCCCGGTCATTTCTGTTGAAATCCATATTGAGCCATTATTTTACAGAGAACATTTTCCGGCCTTTGGACTCAATCAGAGTTGATATTGGACCAGTATATGGCTGATTGAAGGCTTTGAAAAATTTTCTTCTTTGATCCTGTTTTTGGTCAAAAAATGAAAATTTCGCGTCTTTTTCAGTCAGAATATATAAGACGATGCTCAAGACAGATATTATTTTCATCACTTGTTTTAAAATTAAATGTTATAGACTCGTTATTGTGAAGGTTCCCTCATATGTGCTCGCAAATTATTTCATTTCTAGGGGAAATTCTTTCTGAAAATCGATTTTCAAGAAACTTCGCCAGTGTTTCATCGGTTTTTACCAGTTTGAGTTATAATTCCAACCGACCGGATCGGCCCGGTTACACTTTCAGATAGGTTGGACCGGACAGGTTCACCGGTTCCAGCTCTGGAGTCAATCGACCTACGCTTTCACCTTTGCCAACAGGGAGTACCTTTAAGAAGTTTCGTGTAAGTTCCTTACTCTAAAATGCAGAAGTAAAATTTCAGATCTCACATTTTAAGCTAATCGCCTTGTTTACAAATATTCTACTAATTAAAATTATGGCTACAACTCTTACTCTACTCCAAGTTTCCGAGAAAAGTTTCTCAAAAATATATTAATATTTTGAATTTCGGAGCACACTTATTTAATTGAGTTTCTCACAGTTTTTCTATAGCAATGCGTTTAAAATTTTTTCATAATGTTGCATTGTCAATATTTTTTTGTTTAAATATATGAAGTAAGATGCACGATTTTGACCACCATCTTATATTTTTTTTTAATATGAGAACAGTAAGTATAATTTCAATAGTGAAAAAACGATTTGAGTTTTTGAAAAAAACAAGACAGTTAAAAAAACAAACAGGAAATAAGTTCAGTGTATTTCATGTATGTTTTTAAAAAGTAGTATACATGACATTCATCAGAAAAAGAAATTTTGAAAACCCGCATGCAGATATGTTACGAACGTGTATACACTTCAATTGAATTGACAAAAACGTCAAGTGCTCACCTATAACAAGAATTTTTTTTTCATTATTATACATTCCTCTCTCTCTCTCCTTCAGCGACATTTATGTTTAACCAGAATTCAGAGAACAATAAAGAAAAGAAAATAGACAGGTAGGAATGATTCGACTGATTTCAATTAGATTTCTCTCACATACATTTCACACAAATTCATTAGATTTCCGAAAATCGTAATGCTAATTAATCACTAAAGAACTTCATACACTCAAAATCTAAATATAGTATGGGGTCATAATTATACAAGAGTGGTGATAATTTAACAAATGTGAAGGTTCATTGAACATGGTTATAATAATTTTTTGGCATCATTCTTCGGTTTTCGTTTACAATTTGTTTGTATGTGAAGTGCAAACTGAAACCACGAAACAGTTTTCATATTTATACATTTTACAAAATAAAAATTTATCATTAAAATCGTACAACTAAACAAAATAAGTTACATTTTTTTTTTAATGTATATCTGTAATATTTAAACAATTCTACCTTACCAAAAATAATAAGAGAAAACCGACAAATAGATTTTTATCCGTATGTTAAAAGAAAGAGAAAAATGACCATTATTTTTATTTTACGTTTACATAATGAGAAATTTTTAACACAAATTTAATTGATATTTGTAACAATTACATGATACTTTCTAATTGAATTATTTTTGAAAACTATAAAACTACAGATTTAGATTCTCATGTTTATTCTCAATTGATCTCTTATTAATTTGGGATAATAAGACATCTTAATGCACGCATACAATCGAATGTTTTTCTATTAGAACTAGCGTTTTCTAATTGATAAACCAAAAACTAAGTGGATATCGTGTTAAAGAAAAAAAAAAGTGTCATGACACGCTCTGTTACATAAGTGTTGAACGAGAGATGTTGAACCATACATGAGGATAAGATATAAACACAAGAAGCTCATATTCTATCACAAAACGGTTTGTTATATCGGTCACTTAGCGTTATTTTTCAATCATACACACAGACACACACGCACACACACACACTTTTTTTTACACATGATTTTGTTCCTTCTTTCTCTCTTCTCTTCTTTTGTTCTCTATCCGTTCTTTTCTTTCTTTCGGCATTCTGAAGAGTAGTAATTGTCTTTAACTCTATTTTTTTCTAGATTTTATTAATAAACCCTTCATCTTATTTTGCATCAAATTAAAAGCCTTATTCCCTCGTTTTTATTTTTCATATTTTTTAACATTTTTTTAATTTTCGATTTTGCAAACAATAGAGAGTAAGAGATCAACAATATTTTTTCAACACCGACATTATACAAAACATACATTAGAGTGAGTAAGATATATTCAATAGAAATAGTTTTTTAAATTAAAAATCAGAAAATAGATAAATCCTGTCATCGGAATCTTTTTGATCATCAATGAAGTTTAAATGTATTTGTCCAAGAAGTGATCGATTCATACGATTTAGATGTAGCATTCGTGTTTTGTCATCTGAATCTCTTAATATCTTTTGCAGATATTTATGATAAATAATCGTCAAAATACGTGATTGGTTAAACAGAAACAAAAAAATGGCTAGTTTATTACATTTGGATTCTCCACAAAAAATTTCGCCAATATCTGTAATTAGTCCACGATCTTCTTCGAGTCGTAGTCAACTAGAAGATAATATCACAAATTTACAAGGTAAGCATTTTTAATGTTGAAAAAAAACTCGTAGTTAACTAAAACAGAATAGTTTGTTACTATAAGACTTTATTCTACTTGTATTGTTTTATGATTGACATATTCAACTGTTACCTATAATAAGTGAGATATGATAACAATGAAAATTTTCAAATAAAATAATGGTTATAGAACCTTGACTGATCATTGAAAAATGAGCTCAGGGTAGAAAAAATTAAATGTAACAATGATCATTTTACTGTATTGTCTATTGTTAAATTAACAAACTTGTATGAGCACTGATGCTTCGAAAACGTCTACATGATGAACGATCATTCTGTATTTGTATACGTTCGAATGATTCATTTACTGGAAGTATAAAGTCGACAGAACAGTTATCAGGTAAAGTTGCAGATGCGTTCGCCTTGTAATTAGCTCTAAGCTACCTTTCTCAACAATCTTAAATATAACCCATCTCGTTAAAAGTTAGAAATACATAGAATATTTTGACACTTACATAGTGGAAAACAGTGGTTTAAAAAAAATTAAAAAAAATACTTGTCAAATAAAACCACAAGTGCCTTCACAAAGCACTTGGCAGAAATAAAACCGAGTATTGCAATCTTGGAGAAGCACTTGTAAAAGTTCATGGTAAATAAGTAGTTTTGGAAATATTTGCCAATTTTTCCGAGTATTTGTTAAGTACTTCCCAAGCAATTAAGTGCTTGGATTAAGTACGTCTATTATGGCATTTTAAGTGGAAAGAAAATAAGCATATTGTGTGCATTTTCTACGGTTAAAAAGATTCAACCTCAGTCACTCGGTTCAAACGAGTGTACAGCATCCTTTAGTCGTGGCACTAGAGAGAGCGTAAAACATTCAGTATGTTCACCATCATTGTCTCTTATTGTTCGAATTGTCCATCATTTTTCTCCACTTTGTGTTAAAGAAGTACGATTCATCATCAAAAAAAGAACCAAAGTTTTTTATATTACTTTCCAAAGAACACTTTTTAGATCATCTTTCTGCGGATTGCTGTATGTGTCAATCAAACGCGCGGATCATTTCGATGAGAGAGATCCCATAATTGCGCGGAACGTCTTATTTTGTGGAGAAGAATGTGATCGTGAATAAGAAGTTCTTTCTAAACAGCAAATTTGGTGAAACTTTATACACTTCTCTTGATAAGCGACTTTCAGTAAAAGGTGGAGAAAAATGATGGATAATCCGAACAATAAGAGAGAATGATGGTGCACATATTAAGTGGTTTAAGCTCTCTCTCTCGTACCATGACTAAAAGATGCTGTACACTAGTCTGTATCGAATGGCAGAGGTTTTAAAATTTCGAATTGAAATCTTTCTAACCGTAGAAAACGCAAACAACATGCTCATTTTCACTCTTCTTTCCACTTAAGATGGATAGAGGGGCTGTTTTCTGTTCGATTTATGCTATTTTCGAATATTAAGAAATACCAAGCACGTCAAAATATTAAGAATAAAACGAACTTGGCAGAATGTTTTTAAACTTTTGAGCGGTAAACCGTGCTTAGCAACTCTAAGTGCTAAAACATTTTAGTTTTTAACTATTAACATTTTCAATGGACTCATATAATGTCTCATCATGAGAAGAATGGCGAATTTTTTTCGACGTTATACGCTAACAACGGCATTTCATATCAAGTAGAACAGAATGCAATGTCATTGCTTTTCGTAGTTTGATATTGCTTACAAATGGTCGGTCTGCATAGAAGAGATTAATGGTTTAATTGAATTCTTGTTGTTTCGAAATCGAATATCTGAGACATTTAAACAAACCTAACAATATATCCAGATCAAAAACAACTGGCATAAATGGCCTGTGAATGAAATAGCTAACAACAGGATTTCAACAGGCTTTTGATTGTGAAAAAATGGTCAGTTAACAGATACCATTCATTGTCCTTCATCTGATCTTTAATGATGGCCTAAAAACAAGCAATTAATTGTGTGTTAGTAAGGCTCAGATTTAGATAACCATTAAATGGCACTTTATTGCCTATTTTATGACCGCTACATAAACAGACAAAAACGGCATTTAACGTTTACCGTACATAAGTCTGACTTATGTAGTCGAGGAATAACAAAACTCTACGTTTTCTATGAGAAGACAACATGAGATATATAGTAGCGAGGTCCGAGAAACAAAAGAGTGAGTTAAACGGTAAACGCCTTTTTTGTCGGTTTATGTAACGGTTTCGTTTACTTATGTTCTTGTGTTGAGGAAGTGGTTACTGGTTCTAGGGATTGGGCCAGGAATGGCACCGATCATACCTAGGGAACCAAAAATATTCAGAAATTTGAAAAGCTATTTAATTCATAGTAGTGGTCAGAAAGAAATTAGTCATAATTAACAGTCGGATCCTTGGCCATATATAGCCAATAATTACGCAAAAATGGCCATTAAACGGTTATTATTAAATGCTTGTTTTCAACCTGTTTCTTGGCTGTTGAAAAAATGCCACTTTTTTAGGCAGTGATACGTTCCCAGTTATACGGCCGAGGAATGGTCACAAAATAATGTTAACTAGCTAAAAACTGTCATTTAAGACGCATTTTGTGCGCTGTTAATAGACAATAAATTACACCGTTTTTCGTCCTCTGCGAGCTGAAAGATAAAACTTTAAGATCTAAAAACATTCTAAGGTTTATGAACCTAATAACAATTTTAAGAGAATGCCATCTACAGTTGATAATAATGTGCTCTCCAAGGAAGGAGGAACAACTTAAAGTTGAAAGTCGCCATTTTTACTGGGACATTCTCGTTTTCAACTCTCAAGCTAACCTTTTTTTTCCGAGAAAAGGATATTTTGATACTAGCAAATAGTTTTTTTCTCTAGCCGAACAAGAACGTGTTCAAAAAAAAACTTTCACAAAATGGGTGAATATCTATTTATCATTGGTAAGAACTTTGAATTTAACTTTTGCTTCTATTTCAATGATTTCAATACTCTATAGCACGATCCGCCTATATTTATCCACGACTTATTCGAAGATTTCAAAGATGGAACAAAACTGATCGCTTTAATCGAAGTTCTATCGGGAGAATCAATTGTAAGTTGCATACCAGCTAGGATGTGATTTTATTGACATTCTTTTATTATCAGCCCATGGAACGCGGCAAAAACATGAAGAGAGCACATTACATGAGCAATGTTAGTAATGCACTAAAATTTTTGGAAAGTCGGAAGGTAGTGAAAAATAATCTTACTTCCTTATGAGGCATACGATATATCTTATAATGTAGATAAAACTAGTCAACATTCGTCCGGCTGACATTGTCGACGGAAAATCGATCATTTTGGGCTTAGTATGGATGTTGATACTTTGCTATCAGGTAGAAATGTTCACATTGCTGCTATTTATTCAGCTGAATACCATTAACTTATTTTAGATCGAAGAGTCAGGGAACGAGGATGGTTCAACAGCACCCAGTGGTACGCGTGGTAGAGCAAAAGAAGTACTACTTGAATGGGCAAGAAAGAAGACAACAGGGTAAAATATAGAAAATAATTAGCATAAGGGTGGCTAACAAATGCTACTTTTAAGCTAGTTGCTATGGAAGAAGTATTATATACTAAGAATTCATTACTAACATCTTTTAAATGAGAATAACTAGCTGAAAACTGTCAAGTTCATTATTTTCAGTAGGTATAATTGCTCATCTTCTTTTTTTATCAGAAATCCTCCAAGAACTACTTCGTCACGGTAAGCATGTCTGTTTTGATGTTAATGCATTGACACAGATATTCGAAAATGTAATCACTCTGTATATGCATGCTACAGACTATATCTGATTTAGACAGATTTTAATATATATTATTGCTTGCAGTTTGATTATCCATTTATATTTCGTAAATTATTATTTTATTTTTATTTTAACACTGTAGAGCTTTCGAGTCAACCGACCATTGCCAGTACATTTTTTTTTGTAATGTACCTTTTTGTAAAATATACTGACGATGGGTTGATTGACTCGAAAGCTCTACAGTGTTAAAATAAAAATAAAATAATAATTTACGAAATATAAATGGATTATCAATCTGCAAGCAATAATATGTATTCAATTATATCAGAAGTCCTGCCAATACAACATCCTACTAGATTAGATAGATTTATAATAGATCATTTTACTGATGCTTACAAACCTATTATACGATTTTTTTAATTGGCTATAAATGCAATCGATGAATCAAATCTCTATTGCGACTTAACTCAGATACTATTTCACGCATGGTTCCAATCACGAGCGAAAGAGCAGCTCGGAAATAGAGAATCACAGACTATTTCGCAGCGGATTGGAGAGCTTTGAGATTGGAATATCCAATTAATTAAATCCATTGCTTCCACAGTCCAGTTAAGTGCGTGGTCCAAATGTAGATTATTTTTGTTTACACTTCAGTCATCTATATTTCTACATGAAAATATCTATCTTAGTTCTGTATTTCTACAGGAAAATAAAGAACTAAGATTGACTGAATCTATTATGGTACGATAATAAGTTCACACTGTTTTTCACCTCGAAAATGTGCTCCACAACGATCTTCTTAAAGAACAACTATGAAACATGTGTGCGATCCTTCTAGTTTCTGTTTCAAAAGACAATGGTTGAATGTATTTTGAATAAGGATTGATAACAATATTTTGTCAACGATTGTTATTGAGCATATATCATTCTGATTGTGCTCCGAAAATCATAGAATGATTGTTTAGGAATATTTCGTACTTTCTGAGTATTTAGCCTAAAACTGCTTGTTTTTCCTAAGAGACGTCATCACTTGGTTGTCTTATATTTAATAGAAAACGTTACTACTAGATGTAGAATGATCGGAACCCAGAGGATTTTCTATTTTTGGCGAGGGGTACGTCCAAAATTTTAAGAAGAATTTTCATACAAAATGGGACAAAAATTTTTATAGAAAAAAAATATTACTTTGAAAACTCTTCCTAAAGTTTTTGAAGTATCCCTCGTTAAAAATAGAAAACCTTCTGGGTTCTCGAGTGTGCTGAATATGAAAAAAAACACTTTTCAGCAACTCAAAGTGAACTTTATATTTTTCCGGTGATATGCTGCACACAACTTAGCGATATCCAAAACATCTGAGAATCAATCGAAGAATGTTTTTCCAGTCAGTTATTTGGAGTGCCTAGTTGGATCCCAAAAGTTCTGAATAACGCTTATGATTAAGAGATCATAAAAAATTGAAAGAATAGAAAGGTGTACGCCCCTCCATCCTGCTACGGGTCTGACATCCGATGATTAAAATAGATGGAATCATAGTGTAGGGCAGTCCATTACTTCCAAAGCACACTTTAGAATCAAAAATTTTGTTTTATCTTAATGAGGCATCCTTATCTTTGAAAAATTAGTCAGATACACAATGTACAGATGCTATAACAAATTTGATTTATTCGAGTAGGTCTTGGCTGTACACTGTTAATAGTCATAGTTCTTTATTCTTCTTATATCAGACGTTATTCAAAATACATTCTAAGACTTTCTTCGTTGACACGGATAGCACAATTGTATTTATTTTCGTGCGAAAATTCTGCCTGCTTCTTGTAAAGTGTCTGTTTCTCATAATATACAATATTTATTATAAAGATTATTTTTAATTTTAGTCAAGTTGAAGGTTTGGAAGTAAAAGATTTTACTACTAGTTGGCGTGATGGTATGGCTTTTAATGCTATGATACATGCAATTCGCCCTGAATTAGTCAATTTGCGGGCTGTACAACAGATGGATGTTCGTCAACGTTTAGAAAATGCATTTTCTACAGCCGAAGAACGAATGGGTATTCCTCGATTAATTGATGCTGAGGGTGAGTGTTTTCTGAATTTTTTTATACATTAAGCTTATAAATCATACTTTTCGAGTGACATGAGATAATGAAGAGCTGAACAACAGTCCAGGAACCCCCATCATGATTTATTATACATAGACACTAGTTTCTATTGAGCTAATTTTAAACAAGTTTACGGTTATACAAACTGTACAAACAAAAAACGAATTTGCGATCTCATTATGATATATATAAATATATCGTACTACAACTGTGTAAAAAGAAAAAACACTTTTATTTTTCAGAAGAACTATATCAACAGGAAAGGATAAAATACGTATATGAATGATTACGTATAGTTCGAACAATTTTTTTTTTCTTCTTCTGCTAATAAGGTATACATTGTTAAAATAACATTAGAAATTATATTGAAGGTATATGTGCGTGACTTAGAAATGAAACAAAGAAAAAAGAATGGGAACTAGTAGAGATTGTTAGGAGGAATTGAGAGATACACGGAAAGTATTTATAAATATATATATTCATGAAACATGTTCAGTTTTTTTTAATAAAAAAGAAAAAAATGACGCACAAATAATCGTACGAGGTATGTTAACTCGTCTTTCCACCGTAGACCTATATCTCAGAGTATGTAATTTAAATCATCCCAGCTTCTATAATCACTTGTTATCCATCGATCTTCCTCAGATTTGTACAAAAATTTGTTGTTAACGCACATATTCTTTAAAAAGACTTCAATGTTTTCATGTTTTTTATATCGATATATTTATTCTTATGTAGATGTTGACGTACCCAAACCAGATGAAAAATCGATTATGACTTATATCGCTCAATTTTCAAGAAAATATCCTGATGAGGTTTGATATAATACTGCTCTCTAAAAAAAAACTTTAGCTTACAAAACGAACATTTTGGCATTTGCACCTAATCAAAACCGATATCCATATCGTACAGTCCTGCTTAACGTTTTCTTGAACGTTTTTTCGCTGATACAACACCTAAATTCATTTATTTATAAGACAAACGACGTTCAAGCGTATTCTGAGAAACGGCTAAGCAGGACTGTTCGATACGGATATCGGTTTTTATTAGAAGCAAATGTCACAATAGCTTTGTAAGCTATAGTTTTTTTTTTGTAGAGAGTGAAATAGATGCCAATTCGTCAGCAGATTTAGTTTGCTATTTTTTAGCCATCTGGTGCTCTGAATCGTGAACATGGTGAACTTTTAAGATGGATAAACGAATCACAACATCGTTTACAGATTGTTAATCAAGCAATAACCGATATTCAAGCAGAATACAAGGTTTGTTATAATTAGATGTTTGTATGTGTTTTGTCCATAAAAAAAAGAGGACTTGAGTATTTTAAACAGTTTTAGTGATGCTAAAAACAAATAAACAGTTAAAATGCCGTTTTTTCTGTTATTCAGGACTATATTAAATATGAAAAAGAATGCAATGAAAAACATAAACAATTTAAAAATTTTGAACGAAAAGAATCAAAATCAACAACCTTTCCAGCAGAAAAATTAAAAGAATTAAAAGATTCGTTTGACGACATTATTGACAGGTATGTGAACGAAAAAAAAGAAGTTGGAGAACGGAAAAAGATTACTCATAAAACAGTGATATTAGTAGTACCAGCAAATAAGTACAACTTTTCATAACAATTGAAGCTTTAGATCGTTAGATAAATTAGAATTGAGACTTTTATTCAAAATTTTCATTTAGAGTGAAGAAATGGCGAATTAAATTGGATACAAGTTTACCAGGTATGTTTTAAACAAAAAAGAATGATGATGAAAATACCAGTGACAATTACTACCATTTTCTAGGCGAACTTGGTCAGATAGGTCAATGGATTAATGATGCCGAAAGTTTATTAGAGAAAGATCTGCCATTTGATCCAGAAACATTGTCACCTGAAGGAAATTACAAAAATTATTCAATATTAAAAGATGAACATGCTGTTAGTAAACTAATTTAAACGTAAGATAAACAATGTTATTTTTCTTTTTATTCTTTTCTAGAGATTCTTTAATAACAAAGATCTCATTCAACAAAGTTTTTTGCGTATTAAACGTGATAGTTCAATTGTTGGTCAACATATATCACAAGAACATTTGAATAATTTAAATGGACGTTTAACAGCTATTATGCAAAATTCTGAGGAAAGAGAGCATTATTTAAATTTTGAAGAAACACGATGGAAACTCCAATGTTTATTGACACCATTTGATCAACTATTGAAAACTTTAAATCAGAAACAAGGCAATATAGATGAAACAGCTAGACGTTTAAATGAATTAAAGGTATCCTATTGTTACTTTTATTTTACGTATCATTGACATCTTCTCGCACTTTTAGATTATGGTACATGGCGATAAAATAATTCAAACAATTGAACACATAATGCCGGATCTGCACAGCAAAGCACAACAATATCATCAGTTATCTAAAAAAGGTAAAAAGTAGACTCTATCCATAATTGTCCGTTTAATGTTGTTTATCTATAGATGATCGAAAAAAAGAATTTATAACATTTACTGAACAAGTACGTAAACGTATGAAAAGTGCTGTTACAGATTTAACATCAAAAGAAACATTGCTGGAAGAAACAATGGAGAATTGGAATACATATTATTCGTGTATTGAACCGTTTGAAAAATGGTTAAATGAGGGTGAACAAGTATTAAGACGATCATCAGAGGAGAAAACAGCATATTTTTCAAATGTTGAAAATTGGAGACAATTTCATCTAAAACTAAATAAAGCAATTCAATTTTTACTTTCTGTTTGTGATGATGATAATGGAACAATGTTAAAAAATAAATTATTACTTATTAATCGTCGTTGGAAAGATATTGACGATAGTGTTAAACAATATCATCATGATGAAGTTATTAAGAAAAAACGTGATGAATTTTATGCTGGACGAGCAAAATTATTAGAGACATTGGAAAAAATTGAACGAGAAATTCAAGATAGTTTACCTTGTACATTGAAAGCAATCAAAGAACAAGATCATCGTTTATATGTGAGTTATCACTCTATTTCTTGATATTAATTTTAAATTATTATTATTATTGTAGAATGCTCAAGCTGAAATAGAAACGTTTCAACGTACACTTCAAATATTAATAAAACTTGGACAAACAATTGATCGTGAAAGTGGTGATCAACATCATCCAGGTGAAATGATTTCTTTATTACAAGTTTGTCAGGATAAATTATCTAAAATTGAACACGATTTACCACTAATATCAAAACGTAATAAAACAATACATACACAATTACAAAAATTTGAAGATGGTATGGATAAATTTACACAATGGCTTAATGATGGTAAACAAACAATTCATCAATATACATTACAAGTACCAGTAAAAAAAATTGAAACATTTCTTGAACAACATCGAGTAAGTGTATAATTTCTGTTTATAATACAAAATTCAATAATATAGAAAAAACATCTATTGTAGAATTTTTTTACTGAAACTGCTTATTATCGTTCGATGATTGAGAGTAAAGGAAAATTATTGACAGATTTAAAAAAATCAAATGTTGGAACACAAATAAATTTTAATATGATTGATGAACAGTATAATCAAATGTTAATCGAATTTGAGGTAGAGATAAAAGATTAGTTTATATTTTGAAAATAATTTTATAAAATTCATTTTTAAATTTTAGCAAATTTGTCAAGAAGCATCATATTGGGATAAACAATTTTCATTACATACAGAATTATGGAGAAATTTTCATCATCGTTTGAAACTATTAGAAGATTGGATAGAAAAAGCGCAAGATATTGTCAAAGAAAAAAATGATGATTACGCATGGCTAATACGAAAACATAAAGTAAATTGGTGAAAAATTGATCATATTCTATTCTTATTCTGGTCATTTAGGATTTTTTTGATAACGCTGACGATGAAATACTACATGGTTTTGTTAATTCTGGTCAAGAACTTTTACACATAAGAAGTGAAAATGATCAGAAAGACATTAAACATCTAATGGATACTTTAGAAACAAAATGGAAGGTAAATACGAATGTACCACTGTGCTTCACAAAGTCTAGAAAGTCATCTTAGTGAGATAACGGTTAAAGAGGGTTTTGAATTCATAAACTCTAAAAAAGAATGAATGTAGATGATATTTGCGTTTCTTACAGAATGTGTTATAATGAATGTGACAGATCCCATCAGCTATATAACTCACTCCTTAAGCCACGTTCACACGACACTTTTTAACTGAGTTTAATCAAAATCCTAACTGAGTTCAGACGCTCCTGGGGATTGACCAATGTGAAAATACCGGAAATGCGCTTCGAACTGCATATGTGTATAAGTTATTTGACCATAACACATGTGTAGAAGATGTAGCTGATCACTGATTGATCGATGTTTAATAGGGGGTCCTTAATCGAGTTTGCAAATTGCCAAACTGAGTTTTTAAACTAAGTTAACAAACTGAGTGCGTTCATACGAGACAAAATTGGAGAGATTAGGATTAAACTAAGTTAAAATATGTCGTGTGAACGTGGCTTTATACTGGCAAGCAGTTGATACGAGTGATTAATGACGTTTGTTATTTATCTGTTAATAAATGTTCAGTAGAATCCATCATTGTGCGCACCTTCCTATAGTGGACAGTCTGACGTTCGATCGAGTTATGTAATTATGTTTTAAATGAACCTCTCTAATGTAACCACTATCTTACTCTGTACAGAGGCAAAAAAACTATAAATTGGACACATACGATAATACGTCGAAAGAAAAGAATTCGTATCATGTAGACAGAAGAAAAATATACATCCCACATCGATGCAATTAGTCGTTCAGAAGATTGTGCACGTGTTCTGTATTTGAAAAGGAAAGAGAGAAAAATAGTAACTGAGCAGAGACTTTAACAATTGTGTAGAAGAGTTTCAATCATGTTCTCACTAGGTATGCACCAGTTAAAAACTGCTGTTTGAACTTCCACGAAAACTGTGATAAATTGCCTATAAAAGATTTCTCAGAGTCGCCGAACGTCTCATTTTGTAGACTAATGTTTGGACTATAGTTCCATATAAGCAGACAAATTTCGAAGTTATCTATGGTACAAATATGTGCAGTATAAAATGCACTAAATTCAGAAAATACTTAGGGCAATCCAAAAGTAGTGAGAGAGGTACTTTATTTTCTTAAGGAGCGCTTCAAAAACATTTCTCTTTTAATGAACAGATAGAGCATCTTTCGCTCTATTTTTCTATGCTATTTGATCAATATTCAACTAATATTATAATAATAAAATTTCGATAAG